AGCGGGCGGGAGCCGGAGCGGGGACGAGGGGTGAGCGCCCTCCGCGAGCTGCCTTCGAAGAACAAGCGAGGCCGGGGGAGAACGGGGTTTGCAGGAGCAGCGGCGCAGAGGGACGCGGGGGGCCACGTGCACACGCAGAGGCCAGGGCTCTGCGCCCGGAGCGCTGCCTCCCGGGAGAGGGACACGGAGCAACGCACGGGGAGGAGGGACGGGGGCAAGTTCAACGGCACCGAGGGCGAAACGAGGGCGGTTCATGGGGAAGGGAAGGCATAAACATGGTGCTGGTGGAAGGGAAGCAGCACCCGCGCACACACCCCACAGAGCGCCCCGGAGCTGCTGCTCAGACCTCCTGCCAAGGGGCATGCATCCGCAGGGAATATTCTGCTCTGTCATAGCCTGTGTCTGGAGCAGCAGCTGGAAGAGGCCAGGAGCTGAATGGCTGCATTTTGGCTTTACGGCTGCATTTTGGCTTTATACCCATCTATTTGCCCCAGGAAAGGGGAGTAAAAGGAGGCAGAAATCCTGCAGGGCAGCAGGAACGGGCAGCCAGCGCCCCCCACACACATGGGGCAGCCACAGCCACTTGCTCTTGCCACCCTGCTCCTCCTGGGCGGGCTGCGAGGGGGACCCCAACCCCGGCACTCACCAGGATTTTGTGCTCCCCTTCCTGCCAGCCCACAGCCCCTCTGTCCCTGCTGTGCCGAGTGTCACCGAGGAGCCTTCTCTCATTTGGGCCATGCCAGAGCCACCGCAGGGTGGTCCAGGCCACCCCAGCATCGCGCTCTGACCACAGGGTGCACAATCAGGCCCGGATTTTCAAGCCCTGCAGGAACACGCAGTTCACCTGGCACTCCTGAAGGCCCCTCTGCCGACTGAGACAAAACCACACTGCACCAGCCCTCCTAGCACTAACAAACGTGACACAAACCTGCTTATCCCGAGCGATCTCTGGGGCTCTCCTACACGCTTTTCCACTCGCCTTGGCCTAGGAACATGCACAGATCCGTTACCGCCTCCCAGCTCCAAGGTGGCTACTCGGATGCCTTCACAGCACCCCTGGGGAATTCAACATCCCGTAGCATCCCGTGGGGACTCGGGTGAAGCAGAGCCGCACGGTCTCCTCCCTGCCTTCCCTCTGCCTCCTCCCAGGAATCTCTCTGCCTCGGGACAAAACCGCAAAGACCGACCACGACGGCGGCTAAGCAGCAGAGTTTCCAGAGGAAACCCAGACAGCAAGCATGGGAATACCGGGAACAAATAGGCCTTGGTTGTCCTTGGAAACAGCTGGTGTCAGTCCCTGCTGGAGACAGCAAGCTGGACAAGGACACTCTGATCTATTCCCACATCTCCGTGCACGTTCCCTCCCAGATCCTCTGGCTCCTGCAGCTGATATTCCCTCCCCACCCCCCGCAGAGCTGTGATGTTCAAATCCCAAGGAATTCCCCTTTCCGAAGCTCTCCCGGCGCTCCGTCTCTCCGGAATTCCGCGCTCGCTTGCGAGGCCGATTTCACACTCATCCACCTCGCCAGCAAACGCAGGCTCCACCACGGCACTCGGGGAGCCCAGCATTATGTCTTTATCTTTAAAGGATACTTATTTCCCAGAGAAGGCTTTGAAGAGGGAGTTTAATGCGTACAAAGACGACCTCCACATCTGCACGCGCAGCTTCTGGACACGGGCTGATTCATTAGGATATCAAAGCCCCGGAGCGGTCGCTAAGAGCGTGTGCTTGATCACTGCCCGCAGGAAACCTCCGAGGGAATCCGCGCTGGGCTCCCCCGTGGGGTTTCCTGCGCGTCCTCCTCCACAGAACCCGAGCCTGCACCAGGATGGGGCGAGCGGCCCGCGTTTCCACGGAATTTGGGAGCACCTGATCCCTTCCCTTCAACGACCCGCGCTCATCCTCAGCATAAGGACCAGGCGATTCATTACTGAATTGCTCCGGTCTCCCCCAGCCCCTCGGATTAGCGAGCAGCCACCCGGTTCAGCTTGCGGCAGCCTTCCCGAAGAATAGAGCAGCTTCTTCCAGCCGGTCCCCAAGACACCACAGGCCTGACCTTGAAAACAAGCTGGGACAGCCCTGTCAGCAGCCAGCAGTTTGGCCAAAACTAGCTAATCTGCCACAGGCAAAAGGGCTCTGATATTGAGTATCACAGGGACTTCTCTCCAAGAGGCAGAGCAGGGAGGAGAGTCACTCTGAAAAGCTGTTACAGCTCCTCCTTCTGAGAGCAGCATGGCCAATATTGACAAGGTCTAAACAGACTCACTCAGTGGGGCAGCCATAAATCAGAGTTTTAACCCATCCCCAAACCATCTTGTGTTTACTAGCAGGCCTCAAAAGTCGCTTGAAATTCCTGTCTGCTCACTGGAGCAACGAGACGCGTTGCTTCCAAAAAAGGTGCTATGACACAAATTCCCCACCTGTCTCCCTGTCTGTATCCCTGCCTTCTCGCAGGCTGCCGCAGGAATCAGGTGCAAGGCACGTCCTCCTTGCTGTTGACAGAAAGCGATTTGTTCTCATCACAAACAAACCCCGCTCGTTTTCCAATCCCGGCGAGCTCTGCCTCTCCGCTCACCCTTTGAATCCAGGCCCAGTGCTGCTTCCTGGCTCCGCGGGGCCATCCGGAGCTGCCGGAGCCGCAGGGCAGCTCCGCAGGGCTGCTCTGCAGCCACCGTCTGCCCAGTGCAACTTTCTTCATACCCCTCTTTCTCTTAAACAGGGATAAGACACATCTTCCTCTCTACAGCCCACGCTGCGGAGCTGCGCTGTCGCCAGAAGCCCTTGAAAATGCACAGGAAAAAAGAGTTTTGCAAGGTTTTAAGAAACAAGAGACTTGGGCAATGACAGGACCAGAGCCATAATCTGCAAAAAAAAGGGGTTTCAGTGCTGCATTTTGCAGATGCCTTTGCAGATCTGCTGAAAATAAGGGGGTCGCTTGGGCCCCATGTAAATGCTAGAGCTGTTGTGGCTTCCTGGGGTTACTCCAGCTTACATCAGTTGAAGGGTTGGCTTACAACTCTTATACCTTTCCATAATGATTTGAAAATCTCCTAAATATTTTGTCTTCAGCTGAAAAATGATTTAACACACAGGCCCCTGGCTCCTAACCTAAGCAAAGGTGCCCAAATACAAAAAGAAGGCATAATGCATGGTGATCTGAGAGCTCCACAGGAAAAAACATCAGCCTCGTGGAACAGCAGATTGTTCCTAATACAGAATTTATCAGGCTGACTTATAGATTTTCTTCCGCAAAATATGAAACCTGGATCTGAAAGGCTATTAACTCTGAAGAGATCCATTAAAGATGCCTGTCTGCAAATGGTATTTAAAGGTATTGCATCACCCCAGATATTGTCATGTTCTTTGGCTATGACTTGGCTGCAGGACACAAAGTTAAAACTGCCTCCAAACATTAAAACCCTTGACGTAAAGAAAATAATAATAATGTTCAGCAGCCTAGAACATGGACTTTTCTATCAGCTCCAACCGGAGCCCATAAATATTAATGCATACATAATTAGCCTTTTTAAATAATGCATCCAAAATTAAACATCAACGAGGTAATAAATCAGTCAGGGCTCTTTGTTGTAGGTTTGTTGGGGGGGTGAGGGTGCTCACATGTGAAGTACAAAATAAAATGCCAATTCCCTCAGCAGCTCCTCCGGATGGACCCAAGTGACCGGGCCCCGATTGGACCACACCTGACCATATTCGTACTTACAAGTCTAATTTCTTTCATTTAGAAAAACAAAAGTCATGCTGGCATTTCTGATTTGCAAAATAATGACGTGCAGCCTTCCCGAGCCAAAGCTGAGCTAATGTCATTGAAACCAAGCTTGACAGAGCTCAGCTCGTGAGTCAAGGTGAGTGAGAAAGTCAAGTTCACCAACTCTTCCCCTCTCTCCTTGCCCTCACAGGGCTCCCTGGGACAAAGATCTGCCCCCTGCAAGAGCAGAAACGCCAGGGCTGGGAGGGATGTTGTCCTGGTGCAAACAGGGCCCTTTCCTTGCTCAGCTCACCAGGGGCCTCTCCACTCCGCAGCCTTTTGCATGTTGGGGCTCTCACTCAGGTGCCCCCGCGCCGGGACCGCTCCGAAGCCGCCGTCTGCAGCAGAGCCCCAGGACCCCCCGAGCCAGCCCCGATTCGTCGCAAGAAGCTGCCCAGAAGAGATCACTCCACGTTTGCTTATCTAAAATTACTGATCAGCCGGAGCGTCGCCACCCGTGGGAGGCTGCTGGCAGGGCACCAGAATCGCTCGCATTCCTGAGCTCCAGCTTCTTTGCCCAAACACACCCCGGCATCTCCTCCCCTGTTTCCACGCTGCACCGTCTCTCTGCTACTCACGCACACTGTCCTCAGCCCCTGCCCTGGAGCCAGCTACTAGGGGCTTTACATCAATAATCCACATTTCCTCTATTTTACCATGTGCCTGAAAGCCCATATTTAAAGTAGATTTCAAGGCAGCCTGACAAGAAAGCGACTTCATAATTACTTCCACTTAGGAAATTCTTGGGTAAATGTCCCGCAACATGCAGTATGTTCCATTCAACATTGCTGTAATTTTCCAGCTTGCTCTCCAGCAAGATTGGGAAGCAACTACCTTCATAGGAAAACACAGGCTCTCCTTACTTTTGCATAGCCAAGTCACTCCTCTTAACTGTTTCCAGGAATAAGATGCTTGGCATTTTCAGTTACATGGATTGCTACAGTCTGCAATGCAGTAAATTCCCTGTTTCTACCAAAGCTTTTCCAAACAAAGTCCATTTCGAGTGAGGCTCTGCCTCAATGCTACATGTTCCTGCATGCCCAAATGCAGCTGTGGGCTCTCTGGTCACTGTCCAGTTTACAGGGGTAAAAAGAGGAGGTTGCTCAATGCAAACAGCACTCTGGACTGTGCTTTCCTCTCCCGATACCAGCTTCAAAGCTGAAATCTCTCACTCTCTCCACGTCTCACACAGCCCAGGCAACCTCTTCCCAGAGAATGCTCATGAAGCCCAGGGCACTTACGACTGATGGACGCTGCAGTTGTAGAAAACAAAATCTACCGAGGCAAACTTCTTCCCCGTCTCCTTTGATTTCAGATAGAGTTTCACCACACGCTTGTCCCCTGGGAGTCAGCAAAGAAGAAAAAGGCATCAGAAAGGGCCCGATGCTCAGCCCAACACTTAGCCCGTGGCCTGTGAGGGATTTGAGGCAGCTGGGGAACAAACTCCCCCTCTTAACTAGCAAAATCCCCCAGATCTAGAAAGAGAAAAGCAAGGGTGCCACCCATGCCCACCCAGCCGCCGAGCAGGTCAGCAAAGCCCAAGCACAGCACTGTGCCCTTCTGCTTATTGCAACGTGCTGGCAGGGAGGCAGGTGCCTTGGACTGTGTGGGTAGCACTGAAGGGAGCTGAACAGCTTAGGGGACAGCAGAGTGTTCAAGAGTCCCCAGGCAAAATGCACATCTGCCTGGGAAAGGTCTGTAGGTGGGGAACAAGGCCAGGTGCCCCAGGGTTTACAGGACCAGCATACAGATCATCAGCAAGAAACTGTGCCCACAGCCTGGGAGAGGATGAGAGCAGATCGAAGACAAGCAGCAATCCCCAGCGAGCAGCAATTTCCTTTTCTTTCCTGTCCCAAAGAATTTGTCTTCATTTCTGCTCTGAAGCTGGGGCTTGATGCAGCCATGGGAAGCCTGCCAGATGCCTCTGCCAGTCCTCTTTGCATCTGGCTCCTGGGGCAACGACCAGGGCAACAAGAGGGGCACAGCTTGTCCTGGGCCTTGTTTCACTGGGGGACACGAGCAAGGCGAGCTCACCGCGGCCCCTGGTGATGGGGATGACGTCCTTGGCAGAGGGGGAGCTGCAGTAGATCTTCCCATCTTTGATGCGACTCTCGGACTCGGTGAAGTCCTCGAAGGAGCAGTTCACTCCGGCCGAGAGGTCTGGGACGTTCCAGGCCTCGAGAACCAGCTGGGGAGAGAGGAAAAAGCAGCACAGAGGGAATCAGCAAACGGAGGAGACTCCTTAACGCCCGGCACCCACAGCCAGCAGCGGGACATGCTGCAGGCTAAAAGCAAACACCATCCTCATCTGACCTCACAGATTTACATGGGTTAAAGACCAGTGAATCCCTGCCCTGCATCCCCTGCCCTCTCGTGCACCACAAGCCATTACGTCTCACCTCTCTACAGGGACCAAGCAGAGTGTTTGGTGAGGGAATGTTTTAGAGAAAGGCATCCACTTCTGCGGACATCGAGAGCAGAGGAATCCACCTCTTCCTTTGCAAATTCATTCCAGAGGTCAGCAGTTCTCACTTCACCAAACACATGCCTTATTTCTAATTTGAATTTGTCTCAGCTTACAGCCATTAGTTCTTGTTATGTCTTTCCTTGAGAGATTAAAAAGCCCTTTAGTCCCCGATATTTGCTCCTTGTAAAGGCACTTACACTCTGTAATCAAGTCACCTCTTAATCTTCTTTTTGATAAGCTAAGCAGATCGAGCTCTGGAAGGCTCGCACTCGAAGGCATTTTCTCCAGCCTTAACTCATTTACATGGTGTTTACAGGAGGTTTGCAGCCTCCTCCTCTAAAAGGTGGACTCCCAGCCCGAGCGCGGTGTCCCCGTGTCAGTCACGCCAGACCTCTGCACCAAACCCTGCTATCAGTAATGCAGATAATCACGGGGAGAGATCAAAAAGCCTCCTGGCTTGCAGGTCCACCCAGCGAGCACTTAGAGCCCTCTCGGAGGGAGCTTTTCCAGAGCCGCCGCTTCCCACAGCATCCGTCGAAGGCCTGTCTTGTTCCCAGATATCTTAACTCCATGCTTGGCAAAATCAAGACCCACTCTCTGGTAAACTAGTCCCATTCAAAGCCGATTGCTCCACATGGTAATCTCATCTTCACAGCTGTGTGCCACCCCGCCAATCTCAGCATCCTCTGCACATCTCAGCAGCAGCAATCTCGCATTTATTTCCACATTACCACTGCAAATGTTAACAGGGGTTGCACTGCACTCCAATCCCCGCAGAGGCGCTTTCCAAATAGTTCCAGTCAGTGACAATTCCCCTCTGACAACCACTTTTTGAGATCCGTCACCGAGCCAGGTCTTAATCCACTTAACACATGCTTTATCAATATTGTATAATGCTAATTTTTAATCAGAATGTTGTGTTGTATCAAGTCAAATGCCTTGTAAAAGTCTAAAGACATCACATCCCTGCAGTCCCTCTTGTAACTTGAGTCATAATTTCATCAAAGAACAAAATCTGCAGTTTTGGGACATTAAACCACATTGAATGGCACTAATTATACTCCTATCCTTAATTCTCCATCAGTTGTATCCTGTATCATTTTCTTTTCCATTAGTTTTCCTGGAATTAATGTCAGATTGAGTAATCTCTAACTACTGGGTTGTCTCATCTGCCCTTTCTGCATATCAGCAAAAAATGAGCACCTTTTCTGCTTACTGAATTTTCCTCCATATTCTCCATTTATTACAAAGTTGCATCTACAGGCAGGCCAAAGGGCTCATTGGCCAACTCTTTTAGGACTCCTGAGTGCTGGATATGTAGACCTGGCAGTTTTAAAAAGTTTATTGCTAGTATATGCAGTTTCATATTCTCTTTACACTGCTAATGGTCTGGAAAATACTCCATGCAAGTACATCATCCTTCCTGTTTGCACAGACAAAGCAAAAAGTTATGCATCTAAGGCTCATCCCAAAATACCTACCAGGGGCTACTGTCAGAGACAGAATATTGAGCTAGATGGATCTCTGGCCTAAGTATGGCAATCCTTAGGTCATTATTTGTATTATGCAGAAATATTTATTGCTCAGTTATGTCTTTTCTCAACAGTAATCAACTAATCTATCATCTCTCTCCAGCAACAGGCTGGCCATCACCAATCCCCTGAACTTCACTACATTTCCTCTGCATTAGAGCTCTTCCTCTCTCTTTTGCTGCACTTTCTTCATTTATTTTAAGTGCCACCTTCCCGGGCGCCTGCCTCCACGGGCCGGGCGGGCGGGCGGCGGACGCGGCTTACCGGGACCTCGGACATGGTGACCGATATGTTCTTGGGCTGCACGGTGAGCTGGACGCACTGGCGCAGGTCGGAGGCGAAGCGCTGCGGCTCGTCCGCCCGCTCGCAGCGGTCCTTGCGCGAGCACCTGTGAAGGGAGGAGAGCCCCGTGGTGACCCCAAGAGCCTCGTGGTGACGCCGAGAGCCCCGTGGTGACGCTGAACCCCACACGGCAGCAACGTCGCTCTGTCTCTCTCTGCCTGTGCCCACTTGCCACCAGGCATCACCTCCCGTCCCCACACGGCAGCATGTCCAGAGGCCAGTCCTGGGCGTCTCCTCAGCCTCTTTGCTACTGCCTTAACCCATAGTGAGCCCCCACATGACTGCCCCAAGCCCCTGGCTCAGCATGTGGACGTCTTCCTCGTCCTTCCCTGCAGCATCTGTCCCTCTCAAACACACACAATTCCCTCCATTCCCCCCGGAGAGCAGCCCGTGGTGCCCCTGTCTCCTCAGCCCGTCCTCACGGAGCACTGCTCATCCAGGAGCAGGAACAACTGCCCCTCTGCTGCACCTCAGGGCAGCCTCTGCAATAAGGGTGTTTTGCTGTGGGAAACGCTGCAGTTAAATGGTGAGCAAAACGTGGAGGGAAAGCAAACACCACAGGCACATTGTGCGCCGGGCTGAGGCAGGAGCAACTTCCCTTCCAGGAAGGAGCAGAAATGGCTATGGGCGCTTCCCTGGCTCCCAGGGGACACAGGGAGCACTTACCGAGCGCCTCAGCGCACTAAGGTGGCCAGGGAGGGACAGCAAGAGCTGGTGGGCCCTGTCCCCAAAGCAGGACCCCGCCACCGCTGCTGAGTCGTTGCCCCGCTGCGTAGGGGCCTTCGCCAGCAGCTCCGCCGCGCGCGGAGGCCGTCGCCGCGGGAGATGACAGGCCCCCCCCGCCGTCACCTCCGAAGCGCCGCGGTGGCTTCGGCCCGCCACGTTTCCCCCGCCGCACGCGCCCCTGGTACTCACACGTTGTGCAGGACGCACCAGCCGCAGTGCGGGTCCCGCGAGCCCAGGCACAGCTCGCAGCTCTCGTACTGCTCGCAGCTCTCCACGGGCACGCGCGTCACCTGCGGGGAAACGCGCGGTGAGAGGGGGGACGTGGCGCCTCGGCGCGGCCTCCGCAGGCCTAACGGGAGCCCAAGGGGGCTGGGCAGGGGGTGCCAAGGGGATGGGCCTCCCATGTGGATGAGGAAGGTCCCAACACACCCGCAAAGAGGGAACAGGGACATGGAGAGCGCAAGGCAAGGCCCCGCTTGGGTCATGCCAAGGGGATGGGCCTCCCATGTGGACAGGGAAGGTCCCAACACACCCGCGAGGAGGGAACAGGGACATGCAAAGAGCAAGGCAAGGCCCCGCTTGGGGTCGATGAGCCCTTCCTGCACTTCCACCTTGGCCGCGCTCTCCGGAGAGAGCTCTGCGCGCCAGGAGCCTCCCAGGCCTCTGCAGGGAAAGGCCCTGCGATGCCAGAGCCCCAGGCTGAATCTTCCCCCAGCCAAGCTCTGCCGGCCACTGGGTTTCCACTGATTCGGGGAGCGCAGCAAAGAGGCTGCAGCCCCCGCGCATGCCAGAGCCCCAGGCTGAATCTTCCCCCAGCCAAGCTCTGCCGGCCACTGGGTTTCCACTGATTCGGGGAGCGCAGCAAAGAGGCTGCAGCCCCCGCGCCGGCTCCGGACGCCTCTCCGCGCTCTGCCGCCGGCCCCGCTCTGAAAGGGTTACGACTCCTTTATTAATTGCTCCTCCAGACTTGATTAAAATCCCCTCGTTCCTCTAGCCCTTCAAGCTCCGTTACAACTGTTGGTTTAATTACTTTCCACCAGCGCTCTGATAACACCCAGCCACAGCACGGGGGAGAGCTGCGTTTATGAAGGAGCGGGGAGCAGAAGGGGGACGGGGAGCGGGATTTCCACAGCCCGCTGCGGCGCCGGGAGCTCCCGCGGCATCGGGGTCGCCAAGGCGCCCGCCCGGCTCTGCCAACGCGGCTCTGCGCCGCCCCGGGGCCCAAAGCCCAGCTGCTTCCCATAGCAGATGTCTGCGGAGCCTGGGGTTGAGGAGCACAACTGGGTACGGGGAGGATAAACGCGCAGACAGGAGCCCCCAGCTCCTCCACGCAGGCACGGCCCGCGCTCTGCGCCTCGGTTTCCCCGCTGCTCCCACAGCACGGGCGCAGAGAGGGCAGGATTCACTCGTTAACGTTCCCGATCTTCCCTTCTGACAGCTACAATGATCGCAGGGCGTTTGCTCGCAGCCCCGGGCGCCCACCCTGCCTCCCGCCAGCTCGGCAGGACGGGCTCAGCGCGATGGCTACGGGGCTCAGATAAGGCTGGCCAATCAGCACCCTTCCGTTTGCATATTAACGAGGACCCCTGTAGTGTCCCCAGTTGTTTGCCCCTCATTTGCTGCGGGCTGACAAGCAAATGGCAAGGGAAGGCGGCGGGGGAGGCGGAGAAGACCCTCCCCAGCAGACCCTGCACAGGCGCCTGCTGAGTCCCCGCTGGCAAAGCAACCCTTGGCGGAAAAAAACAACCCCATGTGGCATAATCCTCTCTCTGGCATCCACTGAACAAATTTCTGTGCTCAGCATCTCCCCCACGGTGGGGAGGGTCAGGCGGCCTGGCCAGGACGAAGAGCCCGGGCAGCTGCAGAGAGGCAGAGCAGCTGCCCGGATTCCACCCGGCTCCTTCCCACTGCCTTGTCCCCAACCCCAGCCTCCTCCTCCTGGGGAGCCTCCCTTGTGCTCACAGCCTCCAGCCCAGGAGGCCCTCGGCGGGTTCGGCTGCAGCGCACCTGGGCTCTTAGCTGCTTAGAAGGTGAAAGAAGCCAGAGACAGCAGCGAGCAGGACACCAGGAAAGGCTGCTCCGAGCTGGGCTGCCGGGCATTGCCCTGCTAACGAGCTTGGAGCCTCTCAATTCCCAACCGCGCCTCAGCCTCACCTGGAGAGCATCGGGTTTCCTCCAGAAACAGGAACTGGGAGGAGGAGGGAAACGGTTCTGCTCTTCCCTCGGGGTTGTCTAGACAAATCCAAGGCCCTGCTCCAGCATCCTTCCCCCTTCCAAACTCCCGGGCCAAAGGCCAAGAGATCTCTTGCGCTCCAAGCTCAACCACAGGCCTACCCACACCCGCCTCATGCAGGGAGGTAACCGGAGGCGTTGTGAGACGCAGGGACATTTGTGCACAGCCTGGAGAAGATGGGTTTAAGCACAGCTGCCTTGAAACACGGCCAGCTCTGGAACCCGTCCTGCCCCAGCCACCCCGTGGCAGTGCCCACGCAGGCCGGGCAGGCGCGCGCTGCCGAGGCAGGAAAATTGTACTGCGAGTGTCAGGGATGAGCATCTGAGGGGACCATGACTGGGAGCAAGCTAGAGACCTTCCCAAAGTTTCCTGGACAAGAATAATCCACCTGCAGTAAAGCTCCCCCCAGACAGACTGGCGAACAGGGGCTATAATGAAAAACAGGACAGGCCATGGGAGCACGGAAACACAACGTTGGGTGCAATGCTCCCTGGAGCCACGCGGGCACCTGCCACGTCGGGCTTTGGTTTCTTCCTCCCATGCAACCAGGATGGCTGCGAGAGGGAGACGTGACCTGACTGAGGGCAGGGATTGACCATCCAGCCCATCCAGCTTGACGGCTCCGAGCACCGGATCCCAAAAAGGCCACAAAGCACAGAACAGCGTGAACCCGCTTCACCCGCTCCGACGGCGCTCCGAGGGCGCTCAGAGCCCTCGGATGGATTAACTCGTACCAGGCAGCTCATGGCAGCTCCGGGATCACGCACCCACTCATAAAACCCACTAAAACTCCTTACTGTGAGCCCTGGCG